CTGGAAGATGTCCAGTCTAATTAGCATATTACCCTTTTATTAATATATATTGCAATCCAGCATTTTGGGCAGGAATCCAGAGGTGCGTCCCGTGGGCACTCCATGACGCTGCAGTCTCATTTTTGGTGATGTTAACTTTGATCACTGGGCTAAGGTGGTGTCTCTATTGTAAAATTACTCTTTTTCTTGTTGTCATTAATGAGTATCTTGGGGGAAAATACTTTGAGTTCATGCAAACATCCTGTTTCTCATAACTTTCCACCACCCATTTTTAGTATCCATCAAGGGATCTTGGCTGCAACGATTATGAGGTATTTTCCCAGCGGTCATCTTCCATCTCCCTCACACAGCTTACGTTCACTAGTTTAAACTTTAGTGGCTCCCTTTTCTTTCCCTCCTTCCTTGTACCGTCACTAACTGGAAGAGCTGCGTTTAGTGAGGGCTCACGGAACCGAACCAAGACCACTCAGCGCGCCGGCCCTCCCGGCCCTCCCAAGCCCCGCCCCCCCCCAAGCCCCGCCCCAAGATGGCGGCCAGAGCGGGGCAGGGCGCTCCTGGTCACGTGACCGCGCCGACGCTGACGTGGCCTCCGGGGGACGCCCAACGTGTCCCTCGCCGCGCCCCGTCCGCCGTCCAGGCCCTGCGGGCCCGATCGCAAGATGGCGGCGCCCAGCGGAAGGAGGAACGGCGGCGACGGTGCGAGCTTGTGGGCTGCGCTGCTCCTGGCGGCCGTGGCGCTGAGGCCCGCAGAAGCGGTGTCCGAGCCCACGACGGTGGCGTTTGACGTGCGGCCCGGCGGCGTCGTGCACACCTTCTCCCAGAACGTGGGCCCTGGGGTAACTGCCGCCGCTGCGCCGGAGGCTTGAGCCAAGTGCCCGCGGGGACGGGTTCTGGGGAGGGGCTGCTGCCTGAGGAGAAGGCGCGGACTTCGGGGGTGCGGCCTCAGTATGAGTGCGGACTTGGGGCACAGTTGCCGGGTTCTGTCCTCAGTCCCTGCCTCCCCTCCCATGCCCAGCCCCATGCCCAGCCCCAGGCGAGCTCCCAGCCCTTGCAGGCGGGGCGGACCCGGGTGGGGAGAGGGGAGCTGGAGCCTGACGGGTCCGCGGCTCCGGGTCGCGCGGAAGGTCGGTCCCCTTGCAGCTGTGACTGGGAAGTGGACAGACGCTGCTCTTCCTGCCGTTGCACAAGGTCCCCATCTTGCATGTCACTGAAGGGTGAGGCCAGGCCCTCCTTTCCTGGGGCCGCAGGCCGACGTCTAGCCCAGCCCTGTCCCCAGCTTGTTGGAGAAGTCGCTGCCTCTTCCATCCTCCTCCATCCTCCTCCTCCGCCTCTGTGAGAGTGTCGATTGCAGCTGTTTGTGGGAATGCTCGCCTACAGCCTGGTGCTGTGCCGGGTGCTCTCTGTGTCAGGCCTGTTTTGCAGAGGAAGGAGCAGAGGCTCAGAGAGGTTTGCACCTGTCCGAGAGCCACAGCAGCGCAGACACGGGCCCCCAGGCGTTTGTGCGTCCAAAGCGGGCCTGCAGGTGTCCCAGAGCCCTCGCTCCTAGAGGGTGTGCGTTAGAGGGGGGTGGCCTCCTCCTCCCCATTCTTTATTCCCTGGAAGCCACGTGGGTTTGTCCCGACCCAGGCGCTCACTGGTAGGGAGGCAGGAAGGGGACTTCTGGGTTGTCAGTCACCGGGCGGCTTTGCAGGGCTGGCTTCCCGGGACCCCCGCCAGCGGAGTCTGCCTCTGCCTCCTTCCCCTTCAGTGTAGGTTTTCAAAAGCAGGATCCTCTCAGACATCCCAGGATCCTGCCCCTTCAGAACTGAGGATTACACCCTACCGAGCCTTCCTTTCCATTCCGTTTTCTAGGACAAGTATACGTGTGTCTTCACCTACGCTTCTCAAGGAGGGACCAACGAGGTGAGCTGTACAAAATGCCATGTTGTCATACGGAGATGCTCTCCCGGGACAATGGGGTTGTCACGGGTGGTTAACTTACACTCATGGAATTCTCCTTAACCAGTAAACGCGAGAGTGCTCACGTTAAATAGTGGCGGCAGTTCCACTGGTAATTCCACAGAGTGAACGGATGTCGGGACAGCAGGAGGGACGTGAGATGTGAATCTGCCATTCCCAAGAGGCTCTGTTAGAGGTGTTGCATTTGTTTTCTGTGCTAACAAATCACCATGAACTTAGCAGCTTAAAACAACACCCATTTATCATCCCTCCGTTCTGAGGTCAGAAGTCCTGGTGGTCAGGGGGGTGCTTCGTAAGCTAAAATCGAGGCGTCAGGCCGCCTGGCTTTCATCTTCCAGGCTCGATTTGTTGTCAGAATTCAGTTCCTTACAATGTAGGGCTGAGGGCCCCCTTTCCTTGCTGGCCATTTTCTCCACCTGATGGCAAAAGAGGAAGTGAAATAGATTCTAAGCACCAGTGGTCGCCAACCTTTCAGACCTCAGGGACCACCAGTGGTCTGCGGACCAGGACCACCGGTTGACGACTGCTGCTTTAGACGGTGAGAGCCGCCTCTGCTGGCAGCAAGGACACAAGGGCTTCAGTCCTACAATCACAAAGAACTGATTCTGCCACCACCAGTAGAGTTGGAAGAAGGCCCCAAACTCCAATGGGAATACGGTCTGGCCTTCCCCTTGATTTTGCTTGTGAGAGAGCAAAGGAGCAGCCCCACCGTACCCAGGCTTCCTTACCCCCATGTACCTCATCCCCCCCACTTTGATAACCATCAGCTGGTTCTCTATGTCTCTGGGTCTGTTTCTGTTTTGTTTTTTTAGATTGCACATATAAGTGAAACCATGTGGAGTTTGTCTTTCTCTTTCTGACTTATTTCACTTAGCACAATTACACTCTAGGTCCATCCTTATTGTTGCAAGCAGCAAGATTTCATTTCTTTTTAGTGCTGAGTAATATTCCATAGTGTATACATACCACATCCTCGTGAGGCAGCCTTGTGTGAGTACGCAGCTGCACATTGCTAGTTCTGCACCTTCTCTGGGTGGGGCACCCCCACGTACACAGCACTGCCCCACTCACTCCGCATGAGTCCTGTGTGGGTACCCCAACATTTTGCTAACTTCGAATCTTCATTGGGTGGGGAGGCCCCTGTGAGCACACAGTAGCACTTCACTACCTCTGTACTTTCTCTGGCCAGGGGAGCCCTGTAGGCTGGTACTGCAATATTTTGCTAGCTTTGCACTTTCACCGGGGGAGGGGGCTCCGGGTGCACACACAGCCAGTGGGACACCCTGTCATACCTGCTGGGTCAATCTCGGGTGGAGGGGCCCCCTTGTATGCATGCTATGGCACCCTCCTCTTCCTGCTGGGTCTAGCTGGAACTGGCTGAGGACCTGCTACAGCACCCTACAGTTTGGCCAGAGAACCTGGATGGAGAGGGAAAACATAAATAATGGCGCTCACTGGTTCCTCTGGTCTGGGCTTCTCAGCTCGCAGAGAGCTTTCTCAGCCTTCTCTGTGAGGTTTCTGTGTCTTGGTTGTGCAGAAGCTGTATAGTTGGCTCACAGCTGTCTCTCAGGAGGAAGTGCGCTAAGTATTTCATGGTGCTCTAGGAGGGGATGAGCTCTGTGTCCACCTACACCGCCATTCTTGGACCTGCTTTTTGAATTGCACACTTGAAAAGGGTGAATTGTACAGTATGTGTAAACTAGTAATTTGTTCCTACATGGGTGCTCCAGGCAAAAGGCATCTAAGTGACCATTTACTCCCATTTAATTAACATAAAAATGGCCTTGTTCCCATTAATGAAAAAGCTTTGATGTTAAATGGAGAGTACCAGTAATCTGAGTCCATTATTACTCTTGGGAGGGACTGTAAACTCATTTACTAACAAACTGTGAAAGTGCCTTAGGCAGCCTGGAACATAAGAGCGGGTTTTCCATTTCCTTTTGGCCAGATTTCCAGAGGCCATAAAAATTAGAATACACAGGTAGTGGGGTGTTTTGGAACCAGTTTAAATTTTTAATTTTTTTAAATATATACTTTTACTGATTTCAGAGAGGAAGGGAGAGGAAAAGAGAGAGATAGAAACATCAGTGATAAGAGAGAATCATTGATCGGCTGCCTCTTGCACACCCCACACTGGGGATTGAGCCTGCAACCCAGGCATGTGCCCTGACTGGGAATCGAACCGTGACCTCCTGGTTCATAGATTGGTGCTCAACCACTGAGCCACTCCGGCCGGGCTAAAATTTTAATTTTTAAATGGCTAATACATTCACATCATCCAAAAAGAAAAACATATAAAAGGTTGACAGTGTCTTCTACTAGTCTAGTTCCTGCCCACATCCTACAGGTATCCACAATTATTAAAATCTTGTGTCTTTTCTGAGAACTTTATGCCTCTGCAAGCAGGCATGAATGTATTGTCTTTCCTTCTTTTTTATTTTATTTTTCTTAATATCCATTATTTTTAGGGCAGGTTTAGGTTCACAGCAAAATTGAGCAGAAGGCATAGAGATTTTGATGTATCTTCTTGCCCCTCCCCACATGCACAGGCTCCCCTATTGTCAGCATCCCCCCCAGCGTAGTGAACCTACATTGACACATCGTTGTCACCCCAAGTTCATAGTTGACGTTAGGGCTTACTCTTGCTGTGCATTTTGTGGGTGTGATCAGATGTATAATGATGTGTATCCCTATTGCAGTATCACGTAGAGCAGTTTCACTGCCCCTGAGCAGAGTGTGGGGGCACCTGGAAGCCAAGCTCCAGCGGGAGGTCCAGGAAAGGTTCACTCACTTTGCAGAACTGGAAGCAGATGGGCAGCTCTCAGCTAGCCTGCGCTCGCCAGGCTGTGAGTTCCGGACTGACCCATGTCTTTCTCCTCTCCCCAGAAGTGGCAGATGAGCCTGGGGACCAGCGAAGACCACCAGCACTTCACCTGCACCATCTGGAGGTGAGCTGTGGGCCTCAGCAGTGGGGTGTCCTGGGCGGTGAGTGGACTGCTGCTCTGGGCAGCCGGGAAAGAGAGGGGCAGACACTCCAATAGGATCCTGCACCCCTAGAGTGGCACACGGAGTGCCACAGAGGGAGGACTTCTTTATGCTTCTGCCAGCAGGCATGAATGTACTGTCTTCTTTTTTGTTTTTATTTTTCTTAATAGACATATTTTTTAGAGCAGTTTTAGGTTCACGGCAAAATTGAGCAGAAAGCAGAGATTTTGATGTATCTTCTTGCCCCTCCCCACATGCACAGGCTCCCCGTTGTCAGCATCCCCCACCAGAGTGGGACATTTGTTGGCAGGGACCGGAGAGCTCCCCAGGGAAGCGCACTGACACTGAGGCCAAGAGGAGGTGTGGGATTGAGGAACTGCAGTCCAGGCAGTAGCCACGGCACCAGAGAGAGGGGTCAGGCTCCCCAGATGCTCACCTGCCACTGTCACCCTCCGTCATACTCATGGTCATGGGCTCCACCTCCCTGCCAGGGACTGATGTCTTGTTCACCCTTCTTGTTACCCCACTGCTGGTGCCCCCTTGAGGGGGTGGTAAGCCGGGGAAGGGATGGAGGAAAGGGAGTGCGTGGCCCTGTGTGGGGAGGAGGGTGATGGGACTTCATGGAATCGTGTCCCTTCTGTGCTGGGCTCTTCTGCCTCGTATGTGTCACCTTACCAGTGGTTCTCAACCTTCCTAATGCCGCGACCCTTTAATACAGTTCCTCATGTTGTGGTGACCCCCAACCATAAAATTATTTTCGTTGCTACTTCATAACTGTAATTTTGCTACTGTTATGAATCGTAATGTAAATATCTGATATGCAGGATGTATTTTCATTGCTCGCGACCCACAGGTTGAGAACCACTGCGACTTAAGCAGAGCCAAGTTCTCGAGCATTTGTTGTGTGCCCGACAGAAAGTCCAAGCTGTGGCTTCACCCTCAGTAGACCGGGGTCCACACAGGGGACAGATCAACAAATTGGACACAGTGGGAGAGCAGGGACTCGCCATTAATGAAAGGAAGTGGCGCATTTTTTTCTTTATTGAATTTATTGGGGTGACATTGGTTAATAAAATGTAAGTTTGAGGTATACAATAAGGACACGACACTTTTTTAAATGCATTTTTAAATGTTTTTATTGATTTTTAGAGAGAGGAAAGGAGAGGGTCAGATAGAAACATGATATATCATCAGTCAGCTGCCTCCTGTATGCCCCCTAATGGGGATCGAGCCTGCAACCCGGGCATGTGCCCTGACCAGGAATGGAACCAGGGACCTCTTGGCATATGGGTCAATGCTCAACCACTGAGCAACACTGGCCAGGCTTAATGCATTTTTTAAATCCTCACCCGATGATATGTTCTTTGATTTTTAGAGCGGGGAGAGAGAGAGGAACATTGATTATTTGCCTCCCATACGTGCCCCGATCAGGGATTGAACCTACAACCTTTTTTTGGTGTACAGGATGATGCTCCAACCAACTGAGCCACCCAGCCAGGGCGACACAGCACGTTTTAATCACACTTGCAGGTGTCATCCCACAGTCTCAGTGCTAAGCAAGCAGCAGGTACTTACTAAGTGCTATTGGGAAGATTCTTGCCTTTCTGCTGCACGGCCCCAGGGGCCAGGCGCCCAGCATCCTCACAGGTCATACCCTGCCTGTGCCACATCTCCTGGCCTCAGAAGTATCACAAGGAAGGAGCCAGGGACCCCCTCATTACAGGGAAGGCTTGTTACAGGGTGCATTCTACCGTGTGCACATCGCTGCCTCTCACAGGGTATGTGAGCTACCAGCCCCTCGGGGGGCACAGACCCA